CGGGGGACCCGCAGAGCCGCCCCCCCCTCCCCTTGCCCCGCCAGCCCGGCCTGGGGGGGCCCGAGCCCGCTTACCTCCGCCGTAGGGAACCGGTGCTTGGGGGGGGGAGGAGGGAAACTATAGGGGGGGAGGCACAGGGGGTCGGATCCAGGCCCAGCGAGGCAGAGAGGAGCCGGATCGGCTCCATCCCTCCATCCCCACCCGGAGGGACGGGATCCAGGCGAACCCAGTTCCTTAGGGAACCGGGCGGGTGGGATCCAGGAGGGCCCGATCCTGAGCAGCCCAAGCCCTTGGGAAAGCGGGTGGGTGGGATCCAGGAGGGCCCGATCCTGAGCAACTCAGCCTTTTGGGTCGGATCCGGTTAGCTGGGATCCAGATCAACCGGGATCCCGGGGATCTGTAACCCGGACAAGCCCCGATCCTGGCCAAACTGGGTGCGGGCAAACTGGACCGGGGAGATGCGGGATCCGGGCAAACTGGAGCCGGGAGAGCCGGATCCGGGCAACCGGGATCCGGGCAATGCGGGAGTAATCCGGGTGCAGGCAGCAGGGAGCCGGGTCCGGGTAAGGAAGGGTGCGGGCACCCAGGACCCGGGCAGCGCAGGTCCGGGCAGTGCGGGTACAGGCAGCCGGGATCCGGGCAGTGCGGGCAATCCGGGTGCGGGCAATCCGGGTGTGGGCAATCCGGGTGCGGGCAATCCGGGTGTGGGCAATCCGGGTGCGGGCAGCCTGGGTGCGGGCAATCCGGGTGCAGGCAGCCCGTGTGCGGGCAATCCGGGTGCGGGCAATCCGGGCGCGGGCAATCCGGGTGTGGGCAGCCTGGATCCAGGTGATGCGGGTGCCGTCGATCCAAGCGCAGGCAGGATCCGGGTGCGGGCAGCCTGGAGCTGGTCAATCCAGGTGCGGGCAGAGTGGACCCGTGCAGCGAAGCTCCCGGTATCCTGAACCCGGGTGGGGGGGGGTGAGGCTACCCCAGGGTCCCCCCCCTCCGGGGAGCCATGCGGTGCGGAGGGCAAGGGAGGAGAGGGGGTGTCACCGCGCCGCCCCCCGCGGTCCCTCAAGCGCACGTGGTGACAGCGGGGGCGAGGGCGACGGGGGGCGAG